TTAGTTATTCAGTTAAATCAATAATTCGTTATTAGAGCAAAAAACTACAACCATTTCATACGACATGAATATTTCTTATTTTCCAATAGATTTACATCTTTCAGTAATGAAATTTTTTTGATGTGGTGAATAATAACTCTGGTTCTTTGTTGTTCACAAATTCCTATTTAAGCAGTTCATACCATTTATACATAGTGTATTGATCTAATATTTAAATTCTTTCATATTTCAATAGTAGTATGTTATTCCATGGAGCTAAGATCCAAAATATGGAAGAAACAAGTCTTTCCAAAACTCTACCATCCAGTCAATTCCATTCCGCTTAATCTCTATTTCATTACCACATATCTTTCTAGCTAAGTAATGAGAAACCTTTCTTCTGTTACATGAATCCAATTTTTATTTCTTGTGTACTAGAATTAATTGTTTGTTTTTTTGTTATCATTTCTGTTATAACAAACCACATGTAAAATTCCTTGTTCTGCCCTTTACTTTGTATATAAATAGTATACATTCAAATATCAATAAACTACACAAAAAAATTTATGGTCTATTTACTTTTCTAATATGGTATCAGAGCTTTGAGCCGCTACAATTTCCGCTGCACCTCATTAAGCTACTATGGCTAGAGGTGGTGGAGGCTCCTCATCACAGAATCGATTTCAGCCGTTGGCGGCGCCTTCAACCCAAATCTCACAAAACACCCATTCAAATGAAACCCACAACCCTTTTTTACTTCACAGCTCAGATCATCCTGGATTTACGCTGGTTTCTCACACACTGAATGGGAACAATTACAACACTTGATCACGCGCGATGCGCGTTGCTTTGAACACCAAAAACAAATTTGGCTTCGTGGATGGATCCATTGCTCAACCAGCTGAGACAGATCCTATGGTAGGGGCGTGGTTCCGCTGCAACATGGTTCTCTCCTGGCTTCTCAACGCCGAGGCAAAAGATATAGCAGACAGTCTCCTCTATCTTGATAGTGCGCGGGCAGTGTGGGTCGACCTCCATGATCGGTTCCAACAAAGCAACGCCCCTCGCATTTTTCAGCTGAAACAAATGATGAACAGCTCAGTGCAAGGGGCC